CAGCATGAGAGGGTCAGCTCAGGGTCAGGGGCCAAGCTGGGCTGATCAAATTGTTGAGATGGAGGCCTGTGCCTTGGCCAGGGCGGATCTAGGAGTTGTGTGTGCGTGTGTGTTGAGTGGGTAGATCTTCAAGAAATCATTCATTCAACAGCAAGTGGAAAGTTCTTCCTTGTGTCTAATCATACCGTGATTCCCAAAGCTTCCCCACATCAGAGAAGGCACCTTCAGTTCTTGCTTCTCACATACCCTGGCCCAGGAGCCTGAGGGTTTAGTGGGCAGTGAGGGAGTGGCTAGGGCTCCAATTGGCTGCTTCCCACAGTCCTCTAAGATCTCTTTCCAGTTCAGAGGGGATAAAAACATAAAGCCCACAAACCCTCTTAGCTTAGGGACACTTAAGACCCAGAGGTCACTTCTGGGCCCTACATTTGCTCCCTGAAGTCCTCTGGGATGGGGTGAGGGGTTCCCAGGGCCCATCTCTGCTCCTAGTACTGCTTTGCAGAAAGTGTGGGGCCCTTCAGCAGGGAGATCCTTCTCTGGGGTCCTCTCTGGACAATAGGGACTTTCAGACTGAGTTTAGGAGGGTGCCCATGTACCTTGTTTCTGACTCCCTATCAGGGACTCTTAGGAAACCAGTCCACCCCCTGGGCAGGTCAGAGGCAGATAGTTCATTTGTACAAAGAGGGCCACTGTCCCTCTAGGTGATGATAAGGCCGGATGGACAACCGGACAGTTGGCCACAGCCCACAATGGGCCGGATGTCCTGTACCTGCCCACAAAGGAGGGGGTGGTCCCGCCTCACGTCTGACCGGCAGCCCTGAGATAGTATCAGGCACACAGAGGGCCATCCATCTTGTCCCACAAAAGCCAGGACAAAGGCCATGTCACCGGCAGCCTCCCCGACCTGGTCAGTGGCGGTCAATGGGAATCAGGGGGAGCTTGTCAGGGTCCTGCTGGGGTCCATGGAAAGCAGACTTTATTGTCCACAGGGCCAAGCAGATGGGGACTGCACACAGGGGGAAGCTCCAGGCTGACTCCAGCCTCTAGGGAAATGTCACTCCTTTATTGTATACTGGGTGGAGCACCCAGGGAGGGCTCTGTGAACCTGAGTGCCCAGCCACAGGGCCAGGGATGGGGCAATGGATACCCAGAGAAGTCCCTTGCTGTTGGGGTTGCCAAAAGAGAGCATCCTGAGGGAAGCAGCAATCGGGTGGACAGAAGGGCTCAGCGAGCAAGAGTCACTGAGATACAGGGGATGTCCCCTACAGAAAGCACAGCCTGTGCAGGGGCCAATGGGGCATCCTGGGGACCTGGGGAAGGGGAATCCTTGGTGTGGGGAGTAGGGAGAGAGGTAGGAAGGGAACAGTTGCTCCAGAAGAAGGAATTTGGAACTAGGTAGGTTTAGGATGTAGTCGTGGGGAAAGAGGAAATTTGAGGGAGTCTGATGGGACCAGAAAGGAGTCTGATAGTATTATGAGTTAGACCTTAGGTTGCTAACTGCAAGGTCAGTGGTTCAAATCCACCAGCTGCTGAGGCAGAAAGATGAGGCTGTCTGCTCCCATAAAGATTTGGTCTCAGAAATCCCATATAGAGTTGTTAGGAGACAGAATTGACTTGTTGGCATTATTTTTGTTTGTTTGTTTGTTTTTTAAGTGAGACCAGAAGGAATCCTGGTGGTGCAGTGGATTGAGCATTGTGCTACTAAGTGCAAGGTCAGTGGTTCGAAACCACCAATCACTCCACGGGAGAAAGATGAAGTTGTCTGCTCCTGTAAAGATTTACAGTAAAAAACCCTATAGGTAAAAGTTTTATAACATAAAGGAGAGAGTAGTTAATCGTACAGTCCAGGAACAGAGGACCCTAGGACCATCAAGGGAGAAGAGCATGAGCATAATGTGAGACCCTATCCAGAGAAGCAGCAACAGCAAAGATGGAAGCAGAGATGAAAACATGGTGAGAGAGAGCAGCTGAGGACTCTAGACTCATGCAAAGAGAAAGGCTATGTGCTGGCAGTCAGAAGACAGGTTTGTAGAATGTGCCCTTTGGTTGTTCAAACAATTATATATTCCTGAGTGTTTTTTGTACATCCCCCACCAAATAAAACCGCCCCCAAAACAAAACCCCACAGGGAATAGAAGCAAATACTGTTGAATGATGATGCATGGAGGAGATTGTAATCATTGCAATGAAACAATGAGTGTAAAACTGATGTTCTTTCATGTAAACTATCACTCAATTCACAATAAAAACTTTAATAAGAAAACAACAATAACAACAACAACAACAAAACAAAATAGGAGCCCTAATGCTATAGGATAAGTACTGGACTGCTAACCCAAAGGTCAGCAGTTAAAATCAACCAGTTGCTATGTGGGAGGAGATGAGGTTTTCTGCTCCTATAAAGATTTATAGCCTCAGAAACCCTATACGGGGTCGCTATGAGTCAGAATCAATTTGATGGATGTGAGTTGGAATTCACTCAATGGTAGAGGGCTTTTTGTTGTTGTTGTTGTTGTTGTTCGGTGGGACTGAAGGAGACTTGGTGACACAGTGGATTAAGCATTGGACTACTAACTGCAAGATTGGTGGTCTGAACCCACCAGCTGGTCCTCTGGAGAAAGATGAGGCTATCTGTTCCTATAAAGATTGACAGCCTTGGACACTAGGGAGCTGTTCTCCCCTGTCCTGTACAGCCACTGTGAGCTGGAGTTGACTCAGTGGCAATGGAGTGGTGGGACCAGGTCTGGCAACCCCTTTCTCACACATAGGGGTCTCACCTGTGGCTCTACCACCCTGGCAGCACCCTGCTCTCCAAAGGCCCTGGCTTCTTATCCTGACTGCCCATAGCACCCAAGAGATCCCTCACACCACCATGCTCATGTCCAGAGTCACTCTAACCCCAATTGCCCACAAAGCATGTTCATCACCTCAACTACCACCCACTGCTGATTCCAACTCAGAACTCTCCTATAGGACAGATGTCATCTTCAGGGAAGCACACTGCCTCATCTTTCTCCCAGAGTGGCTGGTGTGTTCGATCTGCTGACCTTATGGTTAACAGCTCAGTGCTTAATTCACTGTGCCACTAGAGCTCCTTTCACCATCTTCAGGAAACCCCAAACCTTTGAGCACCCACTGTCCTCAGCATCTTCCTGTTCCCCCTGACCACCTACATCTACATTCTCCTCAGTGTTCCTCCCATCCCACCCCAGCCTCCCAGGGACCCTTGGAGCCTTACTCTCTTGGTGAAGCATCTGAGCACTTTAGGGTGCTGACCCCCTGCGCTCCTGAACCCCCTGTGGGCCAGCACTCACTCCCTGGGTGTTCTGCTACTTGCTGCTTCCCGTGGGAGAAGGCAGAGAGAAACAGAGACAGAGGGAGAGCCGTGGGGGCCTACACAGTGTCCCAGTGGCCAGAAGTTCCCTCCTCATCCCTGGCTTTTCCATGTCCTCCCTCAGGGCACGGGACTTCTTCCCATCTAGAACCCTGGTAACTTTTGACATCAGACCATATTTACAGCTCTCCCAGCCACTTTGCTGCCCACAAATCTCTACTCCACTCCTTAAGGCAGAGAGAAGCTGAGGTGCCAGGCCAGGTGACCCGAGAGCTGCTGGGGCAGGAGCTTTGGGTGCAGGCAGGAACCCCCAAGGGGAACTTTGTACCCCAGAGAAAAGCCTGCACCCTGTGGAACCCCACATTCCTGTATTTGGCCTGCCCAAGTGCTTTTGGGGTGCCACTGTCCCTACACTTATCCTTATCAGCCTTCCTTCTCTGGACTGTCCTTAGGTTGTTGGCTTTCACCCATGCCCAGGCCGCCTGATTCCCCAAAGGGATCTGCTCAGTGTCACAAAATTCACCTGAGAAGAATAGCTTCACATCCATTCCACCTACCAGCCCTGCTCCCATGTCCCCTTTTGTTTACCCCACAGCCCCAGGGTCAGCTCATTGGAGCCCAGCCTAAGGCAGCACAGTTACTACTCACTGTCCACTCAGTTCCCACTCATAGAGTTTCCAAAGCTGTAAATCTTTATTGGAGCAGAACACTTCATTTTTCTCCCTCAGTTCAAATCCCTCAGCGACTGGTGGATTTGAACTGCTGACCTTGAGGTGAGTAGTCCCACTATTACACCAGTGTTCTTCTAGAGGCTCCCTAAGCCTGAAGCATCCACACTTATGCTGTTGTTGTAGTTTTCTATGCAATAATCTAAACAACGGTAGCATCCACATACCCTCAGAATTCCTGGAGTGTCTTCACTGTCCCTGTCCCCACAGTGTCCCCACGGTGTCCTCACTGTCTCGAGTCCTCACTGTCTCCACAGTATCCCCACAGTATCCTCAGCCCCCACAGAGTCCTCACTGTCTTAAATGTCCTCACTGTCCCCATAGTGTTCCCACCATCCCCACAGTGTCCTCACTGTACCCATGGTGTCCCAATGGTCCCCACTGTTCCCAGTGTCCTCATTGTCCCCAGTGTCTCTGAACTGTCCCCAAAGTGTCCTCACTGTCCCCACTTTGTCCCCATTAACCCCCACATGTCCCCACTGCGCCCAAGCTGACTTCTGAGTTAGGGGAGCAGTCAGGTGGTGTTTATCGGCAGCTCTTATGGACCCTCCAAGTTTTTTTAGGTGAGTGTGAATGAATGTGTGTCTGTGTCTTGGCGGTTTGGGGAATCGCACTCCCAGGACAGGTGGTTCAGGTATCTGCCATAAGGAGAAGGTTTATTCCACTCAGAAACTGGGATGGAGGAGACCCTGTAGGGTGCGAGCTGTAGTTTTGCCCTTTCACCTCTCCAAGTCAGAGGGCGTCGTTTGGCCTTGCTAGGGGTGGGGGCATTGGCTGTGTCTGCCCCACGTTGATCCTGGCCTGCGGAGTGGAGTGGGAGTCTCAGAGATTGAGCAGGGGCCAGGCACCAGATGATGCTCAGGTTGGGCAAGCTGAAGTCTCCTGAGTCAGGGTCCTGTCGAATTTGCCAGCCTGTGTCTCTGAGCGTCAGGCCGCTCTGCTTAGGATGCGCTTGTTTCCACCCCTTCCGCCACCAGTGGGGCACTCAGCAACAAGTTGGCCTCAGCCCGGGCACGGGCGCTGGCGCGCAACCTCCGCAGGCGGCGCAGCAGCAGCACCAGCAACAGCACGTGCAGCAGCCCCAGACAGAGCAGCACCAGTTGGGCCCCCAGCGCCCCCCAGCAGAGCGTGCCGGGCGTGCAGGTGGCGCGCAGCTCCTCCTCAGCCAGGTAGGGTAGCAGGCGGCCACGCAGCGAAGCGGGCGAGGCGCAGCGCAGATCGCGGTAGGGAGCGCGCTCGGGTCGGCCCGCCAGCCAGGCGCGCAGCGGCAGCAGGCGGCAGTCGCAGCGCCAGGGGTTGGCTCCCAGGTGCGCGGTGCGCAGCGCGGGCAGTACATCTAGCAGCCCCGGCGGCATCGCCGTGAGGTTGTTGCCTGTTAACACCAGTTCAGTGGTGCCAGGAGGGAAGGCGGCTGGCAGTGAGGCCCAAGTTAGCCCGCTATACCCGCAGTCCACACGCGTCCCTGCGCAGCGACATGGCGCTGGGCAACCCACGGCCAGCCAGCTCGACGATGCCAGCAACAGGATCAACAGGCTCAGCGCCCCGAGCGGTCCTGGAAAAGAAGTGTCACCGTGAGCCCCGTGGGCCAGACGGTCCGCGATGCCCTAGGCCCATGCCTACCTACTGAAGCTAGAAGTCTCCTACCACCAAAAGTCTATCCACCCTGGGCCCTGGATGAAACCCAAAATAACTCACTGCCTTAGAGTGGATTTCCTACTCACGACAACCCCATAAGACAGGGTAGAACTGCCCCTTAGGGTTTCTAAGGTTGTATCTCATCTTTCTCCCGGTGAGCGGCTGGTGGGTTCCAACCACCGTCCTTTAGGGTTAACAGCCAACCAGGGATCCTTCCTGGGTAAATCGGACCCTTTTCCCCTATTGCCAGCCAACGACAGGAGTGCATCCCGACCCGGGTCACCCAGACTCACCGGAGCCCATGGCGAGAGGACCGTGGCCCAACTTGCTCTGAAACTCCAGGCGATGGCTGGAAAATCTACCGATAAGGCTGCCCCGCCCTGCCAAGCCCTGGAGCCCTGGCCGCTCCGACCACAGCGAGGCCTGCCCGCCAGAAATAACTCGGACGCCCACCGCGGTAGCCGCAGATAGAAAACTATCGCCTAGTCGACGGCCCTCTGTGCTTCCGCCCCCACCCGCCCCCCAGGGGCGCACCAGCACTCGGACACAGTAGCAATGTTCACCAACATTGTTCCCCGTCACCAGGACAGGACATGGCATTCACAACGGAACAAAACGGAGTATGGGTGTGGGGGAGAGGGGGACAGGAGTCATGCGGGAAGAGGGGTCGGAAGGCCAAGGGATCAAGATCCCGGATAGACCGCGGGGACCCCCCCCCCCCCTTAGTGCCGCTTGAGAGGAGGGACCTTGGGTGGCGGGGGGGGGGGGACGACTCCCCACGGCCCGCTATTTCTGCAGCCCTCTGGAGGGGGGCTCCCCACCGCCCGCTATTTCTGCAGCCCTCTGGCCCGGTGCCGGGTCGGGGAGGGGCGAGGGCACCGGAGCCAGCCCTGCGTGCTCCTCGTCCGCGGTCCTTTGGAGGGGTTCTCATTGCTTGGTGGCGCCCAGCCCTTCCCAATGGGCTTCCTGGTGCATGGGGTGAGGAGGTAAGGGAGGATAGCCCACTTTGCACAAAGTGGTATCTGGGCATATTTGGGTGAACTGCGGGAACCGGCACACAGGACTCCCAAGACCTCTCAGGACCCTGGGGATCTGGTCCTCCCTTCTGCCTTGGTTTTACTGCCTGAGCAGGACCAGGAACAGGCGTAGTGGCCTCACCCCACAGAGCTCCTGCTTCCCCCAAGGCCAGAGGGTGCCGGTTGGTAGGTTGTTGCCCAGACCCCTTGAAAGCAGATGGTGGGGGGACAGGATGTGTGGGAAGAATAAATTAGGGTTGGTTGGGGACGCGGGGGGGGGGGGCGCTGCGGTCGAGTCCCTGGGTTGGTAGGTGCAGTCCGGAATCCAGCCACTCTAAGATTGGGGTGGGGTCCAGGCCAGTCTGGTCCAGCGAATCCAAGGTCAAGTTTAGGAGTGGGAGGGGCTGGCCCAGGGATGGGCTGTCTATCCCTGGCGAGGTGGGGTGGGGTGGGGTGGGGTCACTGGTCCTGCATTTGCTGTTTCATCTTCTGTAGCATCTCTTGCATGCGCCTCAGCTTGTGAGAGAGATAAGGGGGAGGTCCGTGTGAGAATCGCCAATAGGGGGACTTGGCTCCGCCCAGCCCGGCATCTACCACTTCCATACCCGCCCACCTACCTCCTCATCCTTCATCCGGATAAGTTTCTCAGTCTCGGCGTCGGGGGTAGGCAGTGGCAGGATAGGGATGGGACTCTCCATGCGGCTGTCCTGGGTCAGTTTGCTGGGAAGCCGGCAGGGACATAGTTACTGAGAGGCTCGGTGAGTGGGCTGCAGGAGGCCTGGCCCACTCCCACCACTGTCGAGATCCTGCCCTACTCTAGTCCCTACACCCGCGGGAAACATGGCTCGAGGGGACTCATTTGGAGCTCCGTAAACATTCATGCCGCTCGGAAGCAGCCCTGGGTTTGGGATTCGCAAGGCGGGGCAGGCGAGGTGTGGTCCAGTTCCGGGGGCGGAGCCTGCTCAGGGAGGAGGCGGGGTCGGCTCACCTGGTCATTTGCTGGATACAGTGCGCACGGTAGTTCTCATAGTGCACGTCGCAAGTTACGTCCTTGAGATCGTGCATGTGCGTGCGGATGAGCATGTTGCGCAGCTTTACGAAGTCGCAATGCCCCTGGTTCTCCACTGCAGGGCAAGAGTGGGTTGTGGATGGGGTGTCAACTCAAAAGAGTCTTCCCTCCCAGAAGCCGGTGCCCCAGGCCTGAACTCACCCTCTACGATTCCCCAGGGGTACAGTCGCCCCCGGACCCTCTGCCCCTTGGCCTCCACCACCGTGTTGCTGCCGATAACCGCGAAGGGTGCGCTTTCCTGGAGGAGCAGAACAAGGCTTGCTCAGACTGGGTTGGACACTCAGCACCCAGGTTGGCCCACCAACCACGCCCCAAAGAGATGTAGCATCGCCTTCTTTTGGTCGCTTAGCTGCCTTCTGGAGCCAGAATTGGTGCCAGACTGTGCCACATCAGGGTGCCCTCCCTTTCAGTTCCCCATCCACCGAGAGCTACGCCCCTGGGCTGGGCCCAAGCCCAACTACCACCCTTGGGCGTCAAATTCTGGAAGTCGCACATGGCCGGTGGGAAGAGGGTGCCTGCTCTGCAGGGGGTGAGGAGGAGGGACCCTGACCAGTGGTCACTGTGTCTTTGGCTATAACCTTCAAGATCCACTAAGCATCTGTGTGGGGCCCCAACTGCCACCACAGGTCAGATGAGGACATGAGCAACTCTTGAGCTCAGTGTCTGCCCTCCTCCAGACCCTGTGGTGGCTCCATTCAATAAGCACTGGACTGTGAACCACAAAGTTGGCAGTTTGAGCCCACTAGCTGCGCCACAGGAGAAAGATGAGGCTTTCTGCTCCCATAAAGATTTAAAGCCTCAGAAACCCTATACAGGGTTGCTATGAGTTGGAACCGACTTGACAGCACTTAACAACAACAATAACAGGCCCTCTGTGAACAGGACAAAGTCCTCTGGCCACTCACTATCTCCCTCTTTTTACCTACCTTCAGTTCCCTATCCTGCTGCTTGAAGTCCTCATCCTCGTCAGAATCACACTCTGGGAACTGGTACACGCGGATCCCAAACTTGTCAATTTCCTCCCGGATCTGTGGTAAGGTAAGGGCTGTCTGATTTGGGGCTGCTCAGGTCCCCTGAGTCAGGTGGAGTGGTACGCAGAGTCAGCAGGTCTAGTGCACCCCTTCCCACCCAGTCCCGCCCCACTCCCTCACCAGACCCTGGTGCCACAGTAGTCTCACCCGTTCCTTCAGCTTCCGGATCTCGCTGGGAACCAGACAGTCTGCTTTGGCGATGAGAGGCACAATGTTCACCTTCTCATGTAGAGCTTTCATGAAACCCACGTCTACTGGACGCAGCCTGCAGAATACCCGCAGTGGGGGAGGGGGCAGTGGTGGGCACAGTGAGAGGGGTGGACCAGCGAGGGGGTTGAGAAAGTGGGTGGGCTCTGGACCTGAGCCCCAGACAGCCACTCACCCATGACCGAAGGGGGAGATGAAGTACAGGCAGCAGTGCACCCTGTTATCCTGGATGTTCTTGCGGTTCAGGCCACTCTCGTCACGGAAATACTGCTCAAACTGCTGGTCCACATAGTCAGTGATGGGCTTCCAGCTGGGGTAGGAGGAACTGTGAGGCCCAGCCCAGAAGGTGAGGGAGACCTGGTAGACCCGTTCCCCAGGTAAGCCTTCCTTACCACTCAGAGTTGTTGACGGCGTCCCCGAAGCCTGGGGTGTCCACAATGGTGAGCTTCAGCTTGACCCCCTTCTCCTCTATGTCCACTGTGTGCTTGAGGATCTCCACTGTCTGGCTGATGCGCTCTGTGGGGAAGGCATTGCTTGGGAACCTCACCCTCTACCTCAGGCAGCCAGGACCCTGTCTGCATCCATCCCCGAGCAAGTATAAAATGAGTGGGCCATGGGACCCCCACTGTGGGAGGGGAGGGTGGGACTGGGGCTCACTTACCCTCAGCACTCAGCAGCTTCCGGTCTTTGTATAAGTCAGTCAGGAAGAGGCTGTGAACCAACGTGGACTTTCCCAGGCCTGACTCACCTGTCCACAGGTACAGTGAAGGGCTCAGGTTAGGTCCCCATGACTGAGCCTGGCTAACCAGTGGCCCCAGTCATCCATTTGGAGCCTGGCCCACTCACCAGCAACCATGAGCGTGAAATCAAAGCCTTTCTTCACGGACTTGCGGTGCACCTGGTTGGGCAGTGTGGCGAAGCCCACGTACTGCTTGTCGATATCCTGGGGGTGGGAGCAGGTCAGGTCAGGGGCACAGGGACATACTGGGACTCCTGGGGCAGCCAGCCCCACACCCTCTCCCCTCCCAGTCAGGCTGTGGAGGCAGCAGAGGGCAGTGTGTGTGTGTGGGGGGGGCAGGCGGGGTGTTTCAGTGGCAGAAATGAAGTGAGGCCTGTGGTGGTGGGAAGGCAGGTGAGAGAGAGGTGGCAGCTGCAGCTTCATCAAGGGGTTTTGCATGGACCACTGAGATTGTGTGTGTGTGTGTTCGCAGAGGGGTGTCAGGCATGGCACAAGCCTTTCCCTCAGTGGCTGGTGGAGGGGACCCATCATGACCCCTGAGACAAACTCAAAAGCCTCCAAGCTGGGAGAAGCAGATACTTACCGCTCCCAGCATACCAGGGGGTGGGAGGCCCCAGCTGGCCTGGATCCAGCAGCGGGGGCAGTACAACTGGCGGCGCAGAGGCTATTTATAGATAGCGATGCGCAGAGGGCCTCCCCCAACTGGCTGGTTCTGGCGCCCCCCTACCACCACCCCGCGGACGCCGGCCCTTCTGGCCCTTATCATGGCCTGAGCTCGCAGAGTTTTGGGGTCATAAGACTGACCCACATGTCTCTCTCACCCCCACACACCTTGAGCCGCCTCTGGGCTTGAGTCCGCGGTGACAGCAACTGTTCTACCAGGCGGTCCTGGGGCGCCGCCAGCGAATCCATCCTGGAGACCCTCCGTCCCCCTTCCCTACCAGCCACGTCCGGACCCAAGATTGGGACAGGCCGACTAGGCCAGACCTTGAATGACGCGCGGTGCTGTTCTTCCCCTGTTCTCTCCTCCCGTTTTACGGACGCGAGAACTGAGACCCCGAGCCAGGGCTTAGCCCACCGGGGCTGCCGCTGACCCCAGAGGCAGCCTGAGCCATCCCTTGCCTCCGAGGCGCCACCCAAGCTGGGCGCGGCTTCTCCAGCTCAGCCGGCCCCACTCCCGCACCCCGAGCCCAGGCGGGGCTTCGCGGCGCTCTAGGGCGAGCGGGTGGGGGCCAGCGGCG